TTTCGTTCATGTATTATGCAAACCCGAGAGGTCGGGTCAGTTTCAGTTTGGTTGTGTGTAAAAAACTCAATGAAGAACAGAAATATATTAAAACAAAGCTAGTGAAAAAATATATATTTTGAAACAAGATTCAGGTATGTACAGTGAATAATAATATTACTATTTTCAATTTTCTATTTTTAAATAAAAATGTCTTCAATAAATTTTCACGCCCAACTTTAGTCAATGTTTGAATTTTTATATACTTAAAAATACACCCCTTATATTTATTCAATTTCCCATCTTCTTGTATTCCATTCATTCAATTAAAAATACACGGAGGTCATAGTTGCAGAATATAACAACCCAAAAAGATTTTTTCTTCATATAGGTAGTATTTTCTTTGTATTTTTTTTTGAAATATTTCTTTTGTTACGTTCTGCAATTTTCATCTGTTTTGTAATTATCCCCCCTCTCCCCTACATTTTATTGATGCAGATTTAATTTTATCCAATCTAATTAAAATCTGAATGTGATTATATTATAATATCAATTGAATTTAGTATAATATATATACTGTTATATATTATATTATATAAATTTACATATCTATAACAGATTTAATATTTAATATTTATATTAATTTATTTAAAAACTGAAAGTGGAGTTGGATTAAATGTGAATCCAATCTGAGTCTGATAGGATTTGAATTCGATTCAAGATTTTCAAATCCGACAAGATTTTTAGTTAAACTTGGATTCTATTTTGGTTTTCATTAATCAGATTGGATTTGGATGTTGATGAATCCAATCTATTTAAAATCTGAACTATTTTGAATTTTGTTTCTCATATCATTTGGCTCTTTAGGTTACATAGTCTTAATTATTGACAATATTGACCATAGCTCACACCCAAAATATGAATGGAATATGATAGGTCTTTAAATCCATGATGAACAAACACATTAGGAAAAAGAATTGGATATCATTTGCAATTAAAGAACATGAACTAGTTTTTTAATCCAGATTAAGAAATACAAATTAATTTTATTGTTGTTGGGTTGTTCCTATTCTCTTGTTTTGAACACGTTGGATTTTTAAGTTAGAAATTGTAGTCATACTTATAAAACGACCTTTCTTGAATCATAAGTTGACCTAAGTTTTGGACTTCAAGTAATCTTCACATCGGGTTTGATTATTGATTTATTGGTTTAGTGTTTAACTTTCAATGTGCTTCAAAAGATGAACACTTTTGCAACATTTTTTTGAAAAAAAAATAATTTTGTTAAATATGTTATAGGCCACTTGGGGTGGAGTTTGGTCCACATTTAACATGAACGAGGCCCCAATTCAAGCCCAATCTATATATATATAAAACTTGGATGGGTCGGGTCAGGCTTCATTTGGACCTACCCATGGTGATCAAATGAATCTTCTATCTGATTGATTGATTAAGGGTGCAATTCAGGTTGTCCTGAGTCAGCATTTGAAACATTGCTTCAGTCTCGGGCCCTCATGTAGAAAATAATTAAAATTTTCACAGTTGAAGATTGATATACTCGGTATCCAAACTATCTATTTCAGTTGGTGTTTTTGCCTATAGGTGCAACTTGGGTGGGTTAGGCCACGTTTAAGATCAACCCATTCCCAACCCTAAGTTTTGGGCATAAGGCCTAATCTCAGTTTGAGCCCAGGGCAAAGCTTAATCTCCATAACCTAGGCCCAGCCCAAACTAAAACTTGAAAGACTTGGATTGACTTGGTCCAGGATGGGCTAAGGTTGGTTAGGTGGGCCTATTGAAGCCTATGTATGTATGTTTTGTTTGTTTGTTTGTTTGAATAGTTGGATAGATGATTGGGCTAGATTTCAGAATAGGTGAAAGTTGGGTTGGGATCAGGCCAGCCTTGGGCTAGTCAATGGCTAGGCCCAGCCCTAACAAATAAAAGCCTGAGGTTTTGCCGATGTTTTCAAAACTGGACCAGACTGGAAAAACTGGGAATTGGCATTTCAGCCCAGAACTGCTTTTTGGGCAAAAACCATTGATTTAGTCAGTGAACCACTGACCCAGGCAGTTGAATCATCTACCCATCGACCCGGACAACGGTTTTTGGCCGTTTTTTTTTTTACATTTTTTTGTCAGAATGGAACATCTGTTCGGTTTGAACGGTCACCTGGGAGCCGGACCCCAGAACGGTTTTCTGTCCAATTTGGTTTTAAAAACCTTGAATTTTACGCCCAAGGACCAAAAATCCAAAGCCAGCCAGTGTACAATTTAGGATTGGGTCATTTAAAGCTGTAAGTTCTAACTGCTCAAGTTGCACACTTAAGCAATGGCACTGAAAGCCCTCATTTACTACAAGAAGACTGCCGCGGCCTCCCCCCTCCCCCCAAAATATGTTCAAGGTGGCAGATAAGAGATAATCTTGCAAGTTATAACGTAGACTGGGGCAATCAGAAATAAAGCCCAGTAACCCTATGATTCCGCCGGCCCGGCCAGGTGTGGTTCAATTGTTGACTACAGTGAAATTAATGGAGTGAAGGATGAGACTAGATGGAGCCTTACGGATCAATAAACATAACAACAAAAATACTTACCACTAACATCTCCCCCTGTCATGAGGGGATGAACCTACCTAGTGTTGAGTGTCGAAAGCACACATTAATCCATGTCGGAGGAATGAAGTAAAAAGAGCAAATCACCCAAACCATTTACTTTGTTTGGGTTGTGCGAAATTCAGTTTTAGCAAGTTAATTCAATTCCTGAGCAAAATGATCCCTAAATTGAGGTGGTGATCAACCCCAAAGCCTACGAAATGAAGTTGTACGTATTCATGGTCTCATAAGAATTAGAAAAGAAGTAATGCAGCAGTAATGTTGTTCGTTAAAAGTGTTGGCACAAATTGGCCATATTCATCAACCAGTTAACTATCTAACTAATTCTTAAATAAGACCATTCAAAACCATGACCTAGAGAGCCTCCGAATTCTTTTACCTGCTCCAACGACCGATGAGATAAACAAGTAGAAAGAAATTAAAAAGTCAAACTCCGTTTTCTATGACTAGCAGCATGCAGGAACATATATGGCGAGTCCCTCCCTACTCCCAAGCTTGTGGTTGGCTATATAGTATTAAAAAAGAGACAGAAGGCCAGGGGAAAGAAAGGTTGAAGGCCGAGGAAATGTAGGTGTAGGTCGTTGTCAGATGTGGATTACTTTACTTGATTAAGGGACTCCAAAGTCTAAATTAACTCAAGGCTTATCGCATCGGAATTAGTAACCTTACTTGACTCCACAACCCACATGGCTTGGAATTTATATCCAGATTATTCCAGATGCATCTGGACAAGCGTAAGCCAGTGGCTGTCTACGGTCTACTGTCTGGCTCCCGTCATTTTTTCAGTGTGGATATATGCATGCCACGCTAATTGAAACTTCTTTCCTTATCAGGCACTACCTACCTACCTACGAGTTCGAGTCTTTAAGTCTCAAGTCTTAAACAACATCAACATGGTGGGAAATGGGTGCCAACTGCCAACATATTATGTAGCTGCGGTGGGGTGGTGGTTGTAGTTCATCATGGAACGTACTCATCGTGCCCTCCCAGAGTCCCAGCCTGTGCCAACCCCCAGAACGACAACCATAGGCCTGTCGGCCTGTGTCAGGCGACTCTGGCTCAAATACCTGTGCATTCACATGCCCAAATGGAGCTCGATGCACCACCCTCTAGCCTCTGTGACTGACTCTCAGAGAAATAATTCAAACTCAACAATAATAGACACAACACACCATGAGCAATGGCCAATGAGGATGACCCTTTGGAGTCCTCCTGCAGCCTCATCTCATACCCTTCTTCCCAAAAGTCCCAACTCCCAACCAATGCAAACTACTTGACCATAAATAATACGTTTATATTACCAGAGTCCGAATGAAGTTGAACCTTATTACCGCATGCATTTCCTTCCTATTACAAACTACGTGCTACGTGATTAATGACATCTTTTAATTAACATCAGGATTCTAATTCAGAACCACCATCATTAACCGTCCCAAATATCAAATGAACGATTTGGAACGATGATATTTCCGCTGCCCCTGGACGATTTCTTTGCACACAACTTTCTTGATCTTCGATACAACTCAAATTTTATTACAACATAGTAATTAATATAAAAATGACGTGAAGAAGCATTAATACATACAAAAGTTACGAACTCGTCACGTACACAGAAGGCAACAAATCTAATTTCTTTGGCCCTCTCCACATGAATTGAATAAACTTGCGTCGCATTGAACTCAGTGTGCCCTTTTCTTCTTCTCCCCCTCTATTCTGAATTATATATATATATATATTTTTTTTCCTGGGCTTCTTCCTTCTTCCATGTTTAGTTGCTGTTTATCCGTCTGGCCAAAAAAGCAAAAGAAAAGACCGTGTAAACATGATGAGATACCGATAAAATAGCGCAAACAATCATTACAAAGCTCCCTTCCCATAGAATTAAAAAACATTGAAAGAAATGAGAGAAAGCAGACTACTATGTATTTTTTAATTAAGTACAGTTAAAAAAAACCAACACTCGACCACCCATGCAAATGTTCAATGGTGACAGCAATTATGAGTGAACTCAAGTCCCCAGGGATTGTCCTAAAAAGACAAAACTCAAAAGCTGTTCTACCTAAAAAATGGGCATTTTAGGAAAAACAAGGCATATTATCTGAAGAAAAGGTAATAAATCACCAACATCCATCATCATTTCAAGGACTTATTTGGACACGTCGGCCCACTTGAACCCTAGAGATTCTTCTTTTTTCTCTCTTGGGCAGCCATTAAAAATCTCACGAGATATCATACAAATGTATTTCACCACACCTTGAACAGGTGACCGCCCAAAATCGACAACGCTATGGGGTCCCTTGAATTCTGGTTCTGGGTCACCAACCAAATGGGCCCACCATTCATCACAAAAATCAAAAGAGAAATCCTTCTTAAAGAACAGCTCTAAATGCACCATGTGTAGTACGTACCTTGTTTCACGAGGAGAGAGCAATCTTCCAATGACCTCGCTCTCTCTTTTTACTGTCACCTTTGCTCGATTAAAAAACACACTTCAGTGAGTTTTGTTAGAAGGTCTTCTTTTTTAGGTAGAGTTCCGAAATCAGTCTTTCAGCCAACGAAATCATGCAGCAGTTGTCCTCCAATGTCCTTCCCAAACTGGCGGTTTTGAGCTTCAAAACCCCCCATCACATATCCCTCATTGTTTGCTTCAAGACCAAAACGGTGTGCTATGTTCATCGTGAAAGGTTCAGACAGACCTATTCCATTATTCTGCTGGAGACCCAAAGTGAGAGAAACACCACTGTTTATGCCCACTGTGCTCATACTAACACCTACTTGATTTGGTATATTGTGATATGAAAAGTTCATTGGTACATCACTTCTGTTGAGCACATGGGGAAGATCATTTCTGGTACGTTTTAATGGGGGATCCTGTGTCTTCTGCACCGAACTATTTTGAGGTTGTTTGTCTGTGGCGAGTGAATTTTCTGGAGGTGGATGATCTACTAGTTTTTCAGTATTCCGGTCTTCCGTTTCTGATGCCTTCTGAGCTTGTCGTGTTTCAAGCATGTGTATCTCTTCCACCATTGGCTTCCAGAGTCTAACTCTTGCATTGATGAACCAGTTGGACACCTGTGCCAAAAGTGAAAATTTTAACCACTAAACCTGAGGCATAAAATATTAATGATAGTGCACAGTTTTTAGAGAGATAAGGCAATGACTAGAAGGTTAATCCATCAAACTTTAAATCATAAGGCTGCAATACCAACTAGTTAATGATGACAAGTATTTCAAACGCCATAGAAATGTAAACTCTTCTCAATGATGCCCAACCTTCAATTAGTGACGAGGAACAGAGCCCGAAACTACAGCTCAGGCTCAGTTTGGAAAGAGTACAAATACAATATGTAGAGTACAAAACCTTATATTTTGTATTATTTTTATATGTATTTGTATTTGTACTCTTTCCAAACTGAGACTGGAACAAAAACCTTAAGAGGTCCAAGGGAAATGTACTGCAAAACAAGATGTGGGTTGGGGGGAGCAAAGGCATGACCACCTGAGAGGTTTGACTGTATTGAGTGTTATGGACCAGCACACAAGATCGTGTACTATGGCTCAGAAATGCACGCCATTTAGGGTTGGGAAAGAGGTCCAACTGTGCCTTCTCCTTGTATGTATTTACAATTTTACATGGATATGCATGTCTAATAAACACACACACACACACATATATGTATATATATATATATGTTTATATATATATACATGGATATCCGTGTCTAATAAATACATACACATGTATATATGTATACCAGTTCAATGGTCTCCATTAAACAACAACCAAGGAATCTTATACTTGGAAACCCGGTTTGGAGCTCAAAGTGAGTCTAGAAGTTCCTCCCCCGCGAATCTTATAACCAATTAACCCATTAACCACACTACAAGGTGGGCCATATGGAAGATATTGACACTAGGAATAATAACCATGTGTGATGTGGCCTTATCCAATGATTTGCCTATCTGATGAACTATCTGAATCAGCCACAAATCCCTCCATATGGAAAAATGCGTGGGTTCATGCAGGGAAGCTCCACACTATTGAATCTTGTACTAGAGAGAGAGAGACCAAGAGTAACAGTTGCAAGACAAGTATGACTAGTAATAAAATTATAAGGTAATGGCTGCCATTATGTATGCACCTGGCTCCTTGACAGACCCGTCTGCTTAGCCAACATCTGCTTGTCGGTATCAGTTGGGTAACTGAAACAGGAAACATAAAGTCTGTATCATATTATAGAATAAGGCCAGTATAACCACCCTTCCCAACATATAAAAATATCCAAATTTAAATTTCACTGGCTTTTCAAGTGAAATCAGCTCAGGATCACACAAAAAGCTAAACAACATATCACTTACGGGCGTAAGAAATGCTCAAACAACCATGCTCTGAGCACAGCTACTGCACGTTCAGGAAGACCTCTTTGGGGTCTCCAAATATGTTGGTGTTCAACAATGCCAGAGTTGTTGACTGGCCTTTGGCATTGAAAGGCTCTATCGCTAGATCCAAACCTTGGAGCTTCATCTTTCTCATAGCATCCCTCTCCAAGACCTTTGCTCATGATACAGATTTGGTCAGTAATGGCATTCTTCAAGCACTTGAAATGCTTTGACATCGTTTTGAGAGCAAATGACGTGTATGGAGATGCATTCCCAAGGCCTGGAACAGATTCAAATGATGCAACGACCACTTGCATTTGTTGGTAATACTGCTTGTACCTCCTGTATACCTGATGCCCAGTGAAAGGAAAAATGTTGAGGAACAGAAGCTCTTTAAAAGTATCGAAAGTTGAGGACATTGTCACAACCAATTGCACAACCATGCTTACATGCTAGTTCTTAAATATTTTGGATGAATTAAAAGAAAACACCTTAACCATATGCATAAATTGTCAGTACAGGTGCAACTTGGGACAGGAAGGGTCACAATTAGATACATTACAACTTATCATCTCTCTCCATAGGAGTATGGGGGGAACAGAAGCAGAGTAAGGAAAGTTGCACTGTATATCCTTCTCAGTAAACATTTCCTAACATCACAGCAGCTGGACAACCACGAGAAAGGAAGTGTCAAGACAAATCTATTTTATCTGAGTCACAGTGATTATTATGAACCCAAATAGATCATCAAAGAAACCTGCCTAATGTTCAAAATAGGCAGCTATGTGGAAATGGCAACTTAATATATCAAATGGATCTTGGCAAAGATGCAAAAAAGAGATTTTTAATGGTGAAAAATAATGAACACCTAAGAACTAAGAAGTAAGCCAATAAGCTAACTTAAACTACATTAATTGAGACTACGAAATCATGTACACGGGTGAGAAGAGAAGGCTCAAAACCTTTCTTGTAAAAATTTACATCGGAACATACTAAAAAAGGTTTCATGTACGCAGTGTTCGCACAAATACTTGATGCATTGCACTTCAAATACTACCCCACTAACCTAAAATTTCATATCTTCATCTTTTGTCACCAAATCAAAGATGGAAAACAAAAATTATGAAAGGAGAAGTGAAGGTTTGAGAAAACATACCAACTCCTACAACATTTTAAAATTCAATCTATTAGTTTGAGAAAACATCAACATTTTAAAATTCAATCTATTAGGGGGAGAACAAGAAAGATGTTTATGTTACAGTAATTAAGCAAACATGTAACAATAAAGAAATTTATACAAAGTGGTACACATCTCAAGACACCATTTTCTCACCATCATTGGGTAAGAAATTTCTACAAAGAAATTTCAGAATTATTACAGAAATATGACCTACAAAATTAAATATTATGTCATCTTCAAGGAATAAAATAACACCATCAATTAAAGGAAAACACCAGATGCTTGCACAAAGGTTTCCTAATTTCCTCAGAACCAAAAAAGGGTTCCAGGTAAGGATTTCCTTTGAACACAAATTAATAATTACACTATGACAGTTCTAGACATAACCTAAGTAATATTAGTACTAAACATGACTGGTATATATTAACATTTGATATTGACTGCATCTTAATGCCTTTTCTTTTCTCTGAGGCTTGTTCAAGGTGGGGGGGGGGGCAAGCAAGATGGGATTTTGCATGTCTGAGTTTGTCTGCTCTTTTCCATAATATCGCCTCAATCATGCAATATAAGCCAAGGCAGTATTAAATCATATGATTGGATAAGCATTAAAACACCATTGTGTTCAAGCTTTAAAAATTACTATGCTATGAGGTCAGTGCAACTTGGGCAGGTTTGGGTTGAGCATTTACTAAAATTTTACGGGTCCCAGACAGAAGACCCAGGCCTAATGCAGTGGAAATTCTTCAAATAGGGTTCCAATTTGCACCACCACATGTAAGACCAGACCTGAAACTAAAACAGACATCCACTTTCTAAAATCTGAGAGGCCAAAAATAGTTTTCCATGTCAAGAAGCATTTCAGATTACAGCAAGTTTCTCCAATGCTGCATGAAAGGATACTCAAAATTATTAAAGCCATTATTACTGACGAGAGAAGTTTCAACCATTGCAGGTGCAAGAGGCAGCAACTTTATATCCTGTTTACTTTTTATCAGTCAACAGTACATCTTGCTACTACATAAAGAGTTCTATATTGTGACACACCCTCCTAATACACTTGCTCACAAACCTCAAAGGAAAATGTCAAAAGCATAGATCACTAATAAACTTAAGAATACTTCAGAAACTCATTAATGAGCAAAAGGTTCCTTACTCAATGATGGTCCCAGAAATCAGGGTCTTGGGAGGGTAGACTGGATACAAACCTATGACATTTCTACCACAAAGTGGCTGCTCTCAGAATTCTAACAACGTTCCACTGTCAGCTGGAGATTTTACCATTGCACCAAGCAATGGCCCCTAGAAACTAACCAACGAGCATATATACAAATACTGAGTCTAACTGTTACATGAAACAAAACCAGAAGACAAATTCTAAACAGGCATGCATGATATCAAGAGGATAAAGCAATTCTACAAGGAAAAGAGGTCATCACCCAATATTGGGTCCATCTATATGGGGTCTTGGGAGGGGTAGACTGAATAAACTTTAGGATTTTTTGCACAAAGTGGCCACTCTCAGACAGACTCAAACCCGCATTCTTATGCTTGTCAGCCTGAGATTTTACCATTACACCCAGTTTTTCCAACACATAACATTCAAATAAAGAAATGATTTACCAACCCAGGGCTGGCTCGTTGGTGTGTTAGCTGGTTTGTTCCAGTGTTGACATGGAATGAAATCCCACAACCAGCACTTTGGGAAAAAAGGGGCAAGGGGGAAGTTCTTAATGGTGCATAGCACAGAATACCAAAAATATATAAATAAACCATTTTTTTCCAATCTGCAGACCTCGGAAAAGTGATACAAAACAATATGAATGGAAAGTGCACATCTAAAGTAATCAATAGTGAAACTAAACAGTATATCATGTGTAATGCATTGAAAAATAAGTGATATATTGGCTCTTTGCACGTGAGATACACAAGTTCCATCAAATACTTGAAAAAAAAATCATTTTCACTACTTGATTCAGCAACCCTATAAAATTGAATTCCTTGTTAAAAACTCTTTCTAATGAATGATTTCATTTAATTTAGTGCAAGTTTTATGGAATGACACTCCAGATATTGTTCTCCCCGTTATAAATAACAAAGGAAATTCATATTGTTCTCTTTTGCAGGTCAAGATGTCCAGTCCTAGTAAGCATTATATGATAGAAGTGTGGTCAAGCTTAAGATGGAAATAAATGCTCATCATGTTCATGTCAAAATACTTCCATGGGATACAAAATTTTTCTACTTGTCAGCATTCTAATAAGTCAGACATTATGCCTCTTGTCAAAATACTAATATTCCATAAGCAAGACCAACTAGAGTTTGAACAGAAAATCCTAAATTGCAATGCCCTCCTTCAAATTTCATAATTTGACTTGTTTATGGTTGATATACAGAAAAGTTGACATGTGCAGAATTTATTCTACCCTCATTTGACAGAAGTACTTCTAGCACGATCACATTGCAATCTATAAGCTTGATATTCTGCAGTTTTTAATTTATTTATTTTTGTCATGACATGCCACTTGCTTGCTCAAATTCATGAAGAGTTATCAGCATCCCCATGGCAGAACTTAGAAGCAAAACCATGTCACAAAAGGAATGCATGCAGATGGAGGAATTATGAAAGTTCTTTTTTCTCTCACGAATTTGGCAACTTGACCAACATAAGCGATATAAAGGTAATAATTTGACTGGTGGGAATTGTCATGTTTAAAGATTAGACATATCCTGCCAGGGAATAAGCATCAAGAGCGGAAGTAGAGATAGATCATAGAAGAACTGTACTACATTAGTCCCAGCTCGCCCACCATTAGAAAAACCATGAAAAGAGAACCAGACACAAATTTGATCCAACACTCTTTTGGGTTGAAAAACCATAATGCTTTCCATGTACGTTTTTTCTTTGGAGTAAAAAAACCTTTCATGTGGATTCCTCCAGCCACTTTATGCACATAACACTTCCAAACCTGGCGTCAGTATCACCCATGAGTTCTATTTCTAAGGTTGTTATACGCTTTTCTAGAACCAAACTTTGTGCATATATTCCTCCAATGTCACCTTTCCCAAAAAGATGAGAGTTTTCTGCGATCTCCATGACCAAACCCCTTCTAACTTGAACATAAGCAATTGTTTATAGCTGGAAACTACGTATTAAAAGGATATTTGTATTCCTTCCTTTACTTTATATTATTTTTCCATTTTGTTAGGCTGCAAAAGCATTTCCAACTAATTCAACACAAACATAGAGTTACATTCCTTTGTTTTCTTCTTCTATATTACTTCCTTTTTTGGTTAACAATCAAATTCCATGTATATTTTACTCGTCAATTAAATTAGACACTGTAGCTTGTACAGTAACACAATACAAGCTTGGGAAGGACTCGACCAAAGTGAGTTCGGAGAAGAAAAACTTGGACAATTGAAGTAAGCGAAAGGGTCAAATTGGAGAAAGAAACTGAATTTGAGTTATCTGAATATAACTCAAAGCCTAGCACGAAAAGCAAGATAGTGACAAAGAAACCAATCCAAAAAGCATACCTCATCGAGCATCGATATTAGTCTCGTTTTCTTCCTCCGGTGCTCGCTACGATCTCCACAACCGAGTGGATCGTCAACACTAATTCCCGCTGCGCTCAAGTTTTCCATGGTAGAATCCATCAAAGATGAGTCTCCGCAGCTTCTTTCCGCATAAATTCCCCGGCCGACACCACAAAATTCCTCCAAGAGCAGTTGCGCAGGCTTCAAGAACCTCGATCCCTTCAAAATCGAAGCATAGCCCGTAAACGGGCCGAGAGGGGCTGAACAGCGAAGGATATCGTTCGACGTCGAAGCACCACCAGTCCCAGCACCAATCCCTCGAACTACAAACCCTCCGATACCCTTGTCACCGAACATAGCGGACTCGTATCGTTGCAAGTTCAATTCTAGAGGAAGATTCTGCTGGCGAGTGTTGTGGGTAGACAGAGACAAGGACAACCCTTGCCCCGTCGTCGTCGAATCGGGGGTCAAAGACAAGGGCTCCGGCTTAAAAGTCACCACCTCGCCACTATGAAACGAATGGTCAAAATCTCTAAGGTTGTGCGTGGTATAAAGAAATGGGTTGCTGTTGATATCTTGGATGGAGCTTGGGTTCAATGCAAGAGAAGACTGTGGATCCAAGTAAGGATGATGAGACGAAGACGACGAAGAGGCGTTCATAAACCCACCAACATAGCCCATCAAATTCCCTCCTTCTTCCTTAACAACACAAGCTGGGTTTTGCTTACAACCCTCCCCAGCTCCACCAAGTGGGGGGTGGTTCTGGTGGTGAAACTCGGAAGTGCCAGCGTTAGCGCAAGTTAGCATCTCGGATGTTAGGAGAGATGGATCGTAAAGAGGAAGTAAACCTGCGCACCCTTGAAGGGAGGTTGCTGCTGCTTCTTCGCAAGTGGGATGGTTTTGACCGACAACCCTAAGCTTGTCTCTTCTACTTTGCTGAGGGACGTGAAAGGGTTCGAAACCCTCCGCCATGATTGAAGCTTACCTTTGAGAGAGAAAGACAGAGGGGGAGAGAGAATAGACAAACAAGTATAGGCAGAATTCAGTGGGAAGAGAGAAGGCTGAGAGTAGAGATGAAGAACAAGAAAAAAGAGTTAAAGGGATGTGGTGATGGTGACGATGAAAGGAAAGGTTATCATGATCTTCCGAGCTGCAGAAACGGCAGACTGGCGCAGGTTAGCTGCAGAGAGAGAGAGAGAGAGAGTCAGGAGTCGACGACGTAGAGTGGGATTTTGGGGGAGTGAGGGAGAGAGGCGACTGGCGAGGGGAAGCGGATTTGTGGTTGTTTAGTCACAACTCAACAACAACAACAACAAGAACACAACCCATAATCCATACAATACGAACACGCCTCCCCAGTCTCCACTCTCCTCCAATGAAAGGCTTTGGGTGCATAGGGTTTCGAGAAACCGGGATGATCACCGGCTATTTCCGGTAAAAATCATGTAAACTGCATTTTCTTATTTCTGACAAGATTTGCTTTGCTTTTGTCGTCGTAGAACTGTGGAAGACTGGAAGTAAGTAATAGTGGTGGCAGTAGCACTTCTTTATTTCTTTATTATTAAAAATTTTAATTTCTTTCTTTCTTTTTCCTTTATTTAAAAATAAAAAATTAAAGTTTTTTTTGTTTTATTTTTTTATTTTAGGGCTGATGCCTGAGGATCGATGAGTTGATGACGCACGTGAGAAGGCGGGAGCCAGGATGGTGTTAAATCGGAAAACTCAATTGCCAATTGCCAATTGCCAATTCCAAAACGGCGCCTTTCTTTCCCTTCCACCACCATCTCACGTAACGAGGTAAAAATCATTTTTTTTTCCTTTTCACTTTCAATTTTTAATATTTACTCCAAGTAAATACTAAATAGTAAACATAAATCCGTATCGGATCCGCATCATTGGATTTCGAGTTTGAGCGGAGTGCGATCTTTTGTTAACTGACTAAAATGACCCTGAGACGTACGTAGTCGTCTAAAATGAACAAACATCATCAAAACTAAACTTTAATTATTACAAACTAAATAATATTTTTCTTGTTGATAATTATTAATTAAAGACTAAAGAGTAAACTCTCTCATATAAAATAGTATTCATGGTCCTTGTCCACCCACTGGGCCCGCTTGATCCACACCTCAAATCAAGGAGTTCAAGAAAAAAAATCAAATTTGACGTGGATGATTTGATTGGTTATGATCGTTGTTAGGTTCAATGGATCAGAAGATTTTAAGGAGTTGAGAGGTAGTAGTAACAGCTAATAAATATGGAAATTAGTATAGTACCGGGGCATTTTGGTCAGTAGAATTGACTTAATAATCATGTTTTACTGCTACTTCCGAGAAAACAAAAGGAATTAATTAACCACCAGGGACATTTATATCCACGTGGCTTCATCTGACACATTAATCAGTTCAAATTACGTCATCATCGTGTCGTACCACATCATCTCTACTCTCTGTACTGTGCCACAAAGAGAGAGATCTTTTGCTTGAGAGAGCGCCCGAGTTTACCGTCGCTCGACGAAACGGAGGTTCCCAGTTTTTAATTAAAGAGAAAAACCGTACTCAGGAAAAAAAATACACACAGACCCCCAAAAAAGTACTTTTCAAAAAAAAAGCGTTACTTAATTATATTTTAATTTCGGAAAATTTCAGAAAAATAGATATTCTTCTTTCACTCACGAGAAAGAAGAAGCTTGAAAGTGAGGGACTGTTGTGTTGGGTGCGTCATCTTTATGCGTGAAAAGATCTCCTATGCGGTACTACTCCCTGCCACAACCTCCAGTTCAAAATATTTATTTATTTAATCAAAACTAATTTTGCATAAAATAAATATAAAAAAGGACTGGTGTACCGGGTTTAAATATGTTAATTAATTTGGACTGGAAGCCTGGGAGGGAAAAAAAATAAAAGGCAATTTAAAAAAAAATATTTCTGAATTTAATGGTAATAAGTCAAAAGCGCCATATTGTTCCTTCCCAATGAGAACTGTGAAGTACTATCGAGTCTTGAGACTCGGTACTACAATGGACTCGTAATGAGAATCTGGGCATTGGAGGACCAAACAATATTTGTCCTCAGACTACAAATATTGGATTGGGAGTTGGGCCAGGCCAGGCCAGCCGGTGGACGTATAAATATGAATGATCATCCGCCCAACTATAATTGTCTTCATCTAGTTTATACCATTAGATTAGAATCTTTTATCTAGATAGGATTCCCATTTTGTGAACGCCGCGGCTCATTTGTGACGTGAAAAGGCCTGGCCCAATGGTTTTCGCGGGAGGAAGATAAACCTTGACTACTCTCCCACTCCCTGGTGGACCCTACCACGCCATGGGTTGGTACCTGCTAAGCTTATTAGGGCCATGAATGTTTGCTTTTCTTTTCCTGGTTGGCAGCGGAAGGAGGAACACCGTGAATCAATTCACCAAAATTGGGGCAAATGAATTGAACCAAAAAAGCATCTCATGGTACGCGTAACAACGGTAGGCAAGGGCCCATCTTTTTTGGGCTTCTATTGGAAGTGGGCCGGATTAGTGAGTTAGACTGCTTTTTTTTTTTTGGGTGGTAAATTAAACTCATGTTATTTATCTGATATGGAAGCTTTTTCCGTAATATTAACTTCATAATAAAGCCTCCAAAGTCGATTAAATCAACACTCTGTAATTGATCAAATCGTAATAGATTTTTGCAGCCTAATTGTGAGACAGATCCCATCAAATTACGAACCTAAAATAAGAAGATTTCTGCTTGTACCTAGGAGGAACTCTCTGTAATGACAGTATTAATTGATGTATTATTTTAATAAGGTCATTTACTAAGACTCCCCCTATAGTTTCACGTAAATATAGACCTACTCTATAATTTGTGTATTATTACGATACCCACTCTACTTTGCAACCACTTTATTCAATGCATGTTCTCTAAGGCTCAGTTTGAAAAGAGTAAGGAACAGTTTGTATATACATTTGGGAATAGTTTTTTTGTTCTAAAAATACCCCATAAAAGTCTAATATATATATGACCCTCCCCACACATTATTTTGTTTTGAAAATAAAACAAGAAGAAAAAAGACAAAAATACAAAAAAAAAAAAACATAAAACGAAGACAAAGAAAGATAATAGAAATAAAAATAGATAACAACGAAAAATGCTTATTTTATCTGAAATCAAGATTTTGATCATATTTTTTGTTTTTATTTAATTATTTTGGCCTGACAGATGTTAGGATCAAAATTGTCATTTTACACTTCCATCCAAGAGAACCGGCAATAAGTGGTTAGACTTGCACAGTAGAGGGAGGGGGTGTCTTACTGAATGACCCTATTAGGTGGGGTACAAATTTTATCCATAAAAGATTGAACCAGAATAGTTATAATATGAGGATGAAGTTGCAGTATTTGTTGCTTGATTCTCTTCCACACCTTTTTCTATTAATAAGCCCAATTTAACCCTGAATTTCAGTTTGTCATGGTCTGTTAAAAAGGAAAAGAGTGTACAAGAAAATTGTCGTCTTTGATGTATAGTCCAGTACCCGCACCATACCCCTCCATATTTTTAGTGAGTGTCCTCCATCTGAGTACGTTGTCTTTGCCAGATGCATAATTAGTCCTAACTAATATAAACACACATAAACAACAAAACTGATAGTAGAGGAAAATAGAAATCTGTGTTGTCCTAACCAAATGAATCGACCAGTGTTAAGAAATCCAGACTGGAAATCGACCCCCCTCCCCTCTGAAGCTGGCAGCTTATGGGTTGAATGGTCCAGCTGTTCAGAGTCTTCAGACCAATAACTCATTTCTTTCAAGTTTTAAGCACCAAAAAAAAAAGGTAAAAAGTTGAAATTCAAAAGAAAAGCAAAAATAAGAGAGCCCATAATAAAGGTATCCTAAACTAATTTTATGTCAATAGAAGCATAAAAAATGGATAAGTAATTAGGGGGGAGTCAGGATTTTTTTTTCTCTCGGGGACCATAAGCTAATAAACGTGGATTAAGAGGCCAAAAGTTTATAAACATAAAAAATAACCAACATATAAATAGAATATTAATGTGGATTAACCTGTTCATTACTGGCTTTGGTATAGCTTTTGTCAAAATTTAAATGAATTCAGCCTAAAACCCAAACTTAATACAGTATAAAATCAGACCTAAAACCTAGCCCGTAAACAGGTCTAATGGGGATTGTGGGGATTTTTAAGACATGATGGGTTGGGGGGTATCCCCTCCGCTACCCAAATGGATCTCCATGACCATGGCTTGGATATCTGCTGTCCAGAATAATTTTATTGAGGCTCAGTTTGGAAGGAGTACAAATGCAAATATGTATAAAATACACAGTGCAAAACTATGTATCTTATATTCTTTTCAAACTGACCGTGAAGAATTCCAGGTAGCATGCATCACGCAAGCAAGAATTCATTGTTTACTAGTAATATTGTTTGTAATTCCTCACATGTGGCCTTGTTCTTAGTCCACTCCAGTTCTATACCTTATCATGGCCTGGACCATAGCAATCATTGGTTTCTTTCTTTTTTTTTTTTCCCTTTATTTATTTATTTTAATACCTTTCATATAAAATAAAAGCTAAAGAAGAAAAAAGGGACACTCTTTCTCCCAAGTAGCACCATTCCCTTGGTTCTCTTGGTACAACTCTTTTTCTTTTTCTCTTTATTTATTTTTTCAGGGAGGGAGGGAACTGCCAAGTGTAAATAAGCTAGAAGAGAAGGATCCCTTTGCTAAAGACCCAAAGCAGCTGGTTGCCATTTAAATAAAAAAAAAGGCTGGTTGGTATTTGAAAGGACTAAAGAGTGGACTAACAGACTTGCATCTGATGTTCACAAATTAAATAAATTACAAGAGATGGGTCCCCCTTTGCTAGCTTTGCAGTTAAAATCCGAGAAGGAATTTTAAAAAATAATAATTAATTCACCTGATCAACTATGATTCAGCAAATAATAAAAACAAATAGTGATTTGACAGTTTGTCATCAATAATATACATTTTTTATGGCTAAGGACTAAGGAGGTGGTATTAGTATAGTCTATGGTATTCCAAATATTCATAAAGAGATGACACCATTTTTTATTAATAAATAAATATGTGCATACGATTTTAATAAATCCGGTGACCGTTTTTGGATCAAAGTAGAAGCCAATGTGTAATATTAAATTAAATAAAGATAAATAGTTGCCACAGAGAAGGGGTTGGTGTGGCTTGCTTGGAGGTGCTAGTAGTACAATACTGATATTGAGAAGACATGCAGGCACGTGCATGACCATGCCTTGTCGAGGGAGATTTTGTTGCTCCATTTTGAGCATCTATCGGCCATCTCTCGTACTAAGGGCTTTTCTCC